GACACTATGGGACAAGGGGAGGGGGGGGGACACTATGGGACAAGGGGGGGGGACACTATGGGACAAGGGGAGGGGGGACACTATGGGACAAGGGGAGACACTATGGGACAAGGGGAGGGAGGAGACACTATGGGACAAGGGCAGGGGGGGACACTATGGGAGGGCAGGGGGAAAGTGCACTATGGGACAATGGGGGGGGACACTATGGGATCAGAACACTAATGGACAAGGGGAGGAGGGGTTAAAGAACACTATGGGACAGGGTAGGAGGGGTTAACAATCACTATGGGACAGGGTAGGAGGGGTTAACAATCACTATGGGACAGAGGAAAGGGGGGTTAAAGATCATTATGGGACAGGGGAGAAAAAAAATATTCTGAACAAACTGTCCCATGGTAAGAAACACTATGGAACAGTTTGTTCAGAATATTTTTTTTTCTGGGTTTCCTCCTCTAAAAACTAGGTGCGTCTTATGGTGAGGTGCGTCTTATGGAGCGAAAAATACGGTACATACAAGAATTACACTTTTTAAATAAAACTGCTATATTAAAAGATAACATGTACACACATTTATTTGCATTACTCCTTTTAATATCAGTATATAATAAATTCCTAACCAAACCTTGTTTTTGTAAATCAGAAGTAATTCATATATAAAAAAAAAATTGAATGGATACAAGTTAAAATGTTCATCTTAAAGTCCAAGTATTTCTTTTAACTCTGCTTCATGACGTCTCATAAGCATTAACTTGCAGTTGTCTGTATAAATGCCGCTTTCCAGTTGGGAGGTAGTGGTCAGTGCATTTAAAAACAGAACATTTTATAACCGTGACGTTTGAGTCTTACAAACCAAAAGCTACTGTTTCATGTTTTTAAGTCTGATCTCTCGCTCCAGTTCAAACTGTCTGTAATCAACTCTTTCCAAGAAAGCTTTACGTTCGATATAACTGTAAAAAGAATAATACAGAAATATTAACGGATATAGAAAAAGCTCAACATAAAATGGATAATGGTGACTAAACTCTTTAGTCAGTGCACTTTAGGCGAAGTGCAATCAATAAAATTATTACATAAATATGCATGTAGAATTTAAATAAATATATATATTTATATATTTGAAGTCTATGTGTATATTTATAAAATAATTTATGTATATTTCGTAATAATATATATATATATATATAAAAAAATAATTCTAAGTGTATTTATTATAGGGATACATTTTATATTTGATTGCTTAAAGGGATACTAATAACCACCCAGACCACGTTCTCGCATTGAAAGGGTCTGAGTGCAGTGCCCAGTCTTTTTCACCCTGCAATGTAAAACACTACAGTTTCTGAGAAACTGCAAAGATTACACTACATGGTAAGCTCAAATTCTAGATGCACTTCCGGAGTTTTACTTCATTAAACACGTTTGCATGAGGACACCTAAAATTTCCAAATTCCCCATAGGAAAGCACCGATACATTGCTTTCCTGTGGGGAAGGTTTAATGACCACGCGGCACTTGCTGCACAGTAGGCCCCACTATCACAGTGATGTCACTGGAGGAAGAGACCTAGCAAGCACCAAAAGGTACCTGAGAGGGGTAAGTAAAAAAAAAAAAAGAAAACAAAAAAAAGGTTAAAATGGACCCGAGCAACAACGAACGCTATGACTTATGGACTTGGTAGTTCATAACTACAGGAAAAGCATGTCCGGGAAACGAAGACTCCGGAACAACGGATATGACTTATCAGGAGTTTCTCCTCAGCCCGATACGTCACTTCCTCCCTTTGCACGAATACAACGAGAGATATGCAAGAACAAGGAAGAAAAAAAATTTCCACTTTAAAAAAAAAAAAAAAAAAAAAAAGGGTCTGGAACCCGTTTCAACAGAAAATGAGGGGTCCTAACGCTATAGTCTTCCTTTAAGGAATGAGATGTTAAATACTTATCTAATTTCCAATCCAAAGAGTTCTAACAGCATACCGGGTTTGTGAAAGGTACACTTATGTAGCATTCACGCTCTTCCAATATATCAGTGTGACGAAAGCCACTTCTCCACTGGGTTTTGGAGAGGACTACTTGCCAGCCTTTTACCCTGTGACTATGGCCCCTTTAATTTATTGTGGTTGAGAGACCCTATTTGTGGCCATTTGGACTTTAAACAATGGTTCTTCGAACTCCTGAACAGTCCAAGTGGCCGCCATTCGAACACGTGTGGCAGCCATCTTGTCCGCATGGACCAAAACCGCGCATAGACTTCAGGGGGACTTGGCCGCGAATGCCCTGGAACTATTTTCGGCATGAAAACCTCGTGGTTCCCGGTCGGTCCTCCAGCGGCACAGGCTTGGAACCGTTTTGGGCATGGGACCATGCTTGCGTCTGGGCAAAAATATGACTTCCATAAAATTTTTGAACCCGTTGTCTGATCTGGGTGATTTTTGGATATGTTGTGCACCCATCTCGGAGCGATCAGGGCATGTAACATTTATGGGGATATGTTCTATTTTGGCGTACTGCTGTGACTTTTTAGAATAAGTGTTTTTTTATGCTTTGGGATAATTACGTTAATCCATTGACTACCTTAATTGTATCACAGGCAGAGGGGAGGGATTGTGTGCTGTATGTGGGAGTGTCAGGCATTGTTACATTGTTTCTATTGGTCTGTACAATTTGTGTCCTGGTGCCCCATCAGGTCCAGTGGGTGTTCCTCTGGCCTGAAAAGTTGTATAAAAATCCAACCTGTATCATTAAACTCAGACCTTCTTACCCTCAACTTGCAGCCTCGTCTCGTGTTGTAGGGAACAGCTATAAATCACTACAGGGATTGCTATAATCATTATACTCACATTCTACTAGCTCTTGTAAGAGCTCTGCAGCTGATCCTGCTATCCTCTCTTGGAGAAGAGGGTGACCCACTGAAACCTGGAGCCTTGTCGCAGGTCAAGGGTGGGCAGAAGACAGCGAGACCCCAACCAAGCTGCGGCGGTTCGTGGGGGTATACAGGGCTTATGGTCCATGGTGAGCACTAGGAATATCTGTCGGCGAATGGTCCGTCACAATCAGCATTAGAATGGAGTGAATTCTTATACACAGCTAATCAATAAAGTCCGAACTTGAAAAAGATTTCACACAGCACCAGGGCATAGTGCCAGTAATCTGCTAGCACAATAACCCCTGCATTGTGCTGTAGTGGATATGATGCTAAAAGCTGTATTGAGAAGTATCACTTTTGAACTCAGATTTGTAGTTAAATTGTATGTCTAGTTAATATTTCCTGGTAGACATTGCGGAGGAAGAATGTGAAAGCATTCAGAAATCAGTCTCTAGTTGTGATTTTACTAGTTTAGTCTGCATAGTGTTCTTTACAATTTTTAGGGTTAATTTGCTTACCCATCCTTGCCCCTGTTATGGATGGCCAACTCATCTCCAATCCCCTCTTGCTCTTTGAATGTATCCCAGTCAAGCTTGGATTTCTCCAGGGTGCTCATCTTTTGTTTCTTGGAGCCAAGTTTCCCCAAAATACTACCCATGCCAACAGGTCTCTTCACACTACACAAAAATTGAAAGTTTCAAATATATCAAACATAACAGATTTCTTTAAAAAAAAAATAAAATAAAAAATTCTTAAACATTTAAGCCAGTTTAAAGTGAAATTCTAAACACCAAAACAACATCAGCTTAATGAAGCAGCTTTGTCGTCTAGATCGTGTCCCTGCACATTGATCAGTTCTCTGCCACTTAAATAATTGTGTGTATGCAGGCCTAGAACGACTCCCACAGGCTCTATGAAAAAAAAAAGTAAAAAAGTCTAATTTTTGCAGCACACTGCCTACTTTAGAAGTTATCTCCTGTTCTGTTAATTTAACTTTTAAAACCACACAGGAGGCTGCCGTAGGCTCTAGCAGACAATGAACACCAATATACACCAAACTCCCCCTATCACCCCCTCCCCCCCATTCTCACCTCCCCCCAAAAAACCTTCAATAAAGTAGCATGCATACTTTGAGACAACTGTCTCATTCAAAAGCTTTAGCTTTGAATGAGACAGTTGTCTCACTCTGTAGACTGAAAAGCACAAAAAATATTTTTTATAAAAAGCCGGTAAAAAATGTTCTTATGTTTTCCACAATCACTCCAGAACGATACACTGATCTAACCTATTGGTGTCCTATCCCTACAACCCAGTAATGATCTGTATTCTATCCCTACAACCCAATGAATGATAAAGAACATCCCTACCAGTACTGCTGCTAAACGTAGGGGGTGAGGGAATATATCATATTTACCTGCTTTTTTCAGACTGCATAGTGAGGCAATCTATAAGAGGTCCCTCTGCCACCCCTCCTCCATCAACGTGAATAAAGGGTTAAAAACCATTTACCTACCTTGACCCAGGGCCAATGTCCCTCGACACTGAGTCGCTGCACCGCCTCCTCCGACATCCTGCAACAAGCAGGCGCTAATGTGCATGAAAAAGCCAAATGGCGAGCGCGTGCACTTTAGGCCTCCCCACAGGAAAAAGCATGGAATTAATACATCCAGTGTCAAATACCGGACCAAAAGTTCGTTAGCAGCCAGGAAGCGCCTCCAGTGGCTGTCTGGTGGACAGCCATTGGAGGCAGACTTAGTGCTGCAATGTAAACATTGCAGTTTCTCTGGAACTGCAATGTTTACATTGCAGAACTATATGCAATAGGGACACTGTGCCCAGACCACTTCAATGAGCTGAAGTGGTCTGGGTGCCTGCATTGTGTCCCTTTACGGATATGAAAACTGGGGGAAACAATATTGTGCTTTATCATCTTTAGTAATCTACTTTTAACAAATCTTAAACAAATTAAGTATGTGGCTACCAAAATGTTATCAAGTCACCGGAAAAAAATCTAAACATTCTTAGTGGCAAATAAATACTTTTTTTTTTTTTTAAAGCATTATATAGCGAGTGTATTCTTGGATCAACAGCAAAAACAATTGTGAGAAAGGCTGAACTTGATGGGTGCAAGTCCCTTATCAGTTTTCATATAATCATGCAGGCTTTTTGTAAATCTTTGTACTCACCCAGAGCTGGTTGGCACACTGGTTTTAGTAGGTGCTGGACTTTGCTCATGTGAACCTTTCTCTTGCTCTTTGATAAAAGCCTTGGCCTCTTTGGACGAGGAATCAACTTCCTTTGTCACTCTAACAAGAAAGTGCATGTTATAACACCTATTTTAATATATTCATATTTCATTAGAAGTAGTTTTTTGGTCTTAATTTAAATATAGAAAGAAAACAGACTTTACCATAAATAAATAGGGCCACCCTTAAAGGAACACTATAGTTACCAAAAAAACGACAGTTTAATGTAGTTGCCTGTCCCTGAATGCTTTTTAATGTAAACCTTGCTTTTTCAGAGAAAAGGCAGTGTTTATATTACTGCCTAGGAACCCCTCCAGTGTTCCTCATAGAGATGCATTGATTCAATGTATCTCTATTAGGAGATGCTGACTGGCGCAGTGTGGTGTTTTGCTGCACATGCACGACAACCTCACAAAGCTTTCTTAAAGTTTGATGATCTCAGCCAAGGGGCAGAGCAAGTCACGAGGCTACCCGTGCACTGCTGGAAAAAGTTGACTAAATAACCAGAAAATGGTACTCCTACAGCTATAGTGTCAGGAATATGCATTTGTATTACTGACATGATAGTGTTCCTAAGCGCTACCAGTGATAGGCAACCTTTGGCACTTCAGATGTTGTGGACTAGAACCCCATAATGCCCTTACACTCATAATGCTGTCAAAGCATCATGTGTAGTACAAAACATCTGGAGTTTCGAAGGTTGCTTATGAATCAATGAAGTGGTCTGGGTGCCAGGCCCCCCTAGTTTTAACCCTGCAGCCGAAAACATAGCAGTTTTAGTGAAACTGCTGCTTACACTGAAGGGTTAATCCAGCCTCTAGTGGCTGACTCACTGACAGCCACTAGAGGCCGCTTCCATGATTTACACAGATTAAATTGCACAATTGCAATTCCGTCCTCACGGAGTCCAGCGTCAAAAAAGATACCCATAGGAAAGCATTGAGTAATGCTTTCCTCTGGGCGGATTTGAATGCGTGTCCGCGCCTCTGGCCGCGCAAGCGCATTCGGCTCCACTCGGGAGCTGACGTTGAGGTCACCAGCGCCGAGGGAGCCCGGCGCTGGATTAAGGTAAGCAAATAAATGGTTAATTAAACGTTGACTAGGGCTCTATAGCGTTAGGAATACATATAAAAAGTACGGCTTTTGCCAATAAGACAGATGCCATAATGCACACTTACAAACATTTTGATGTGGAACAGGGCTCTTCCCAGTACCCATAACCAGCCTCCTCTTCTGCTGCATTGATGTTAAAATTATATTTATGCATTACTAAATGGGATGCCATTCAACTTGGAGATTATTAAAAGGCTGAGAATTAGTTATTTCAAAATCACGGCCACCGAGGTTGAATGGAATCAAACTTGATATTACAGTAGTTTCCACGTTATCAGTAATGCTTAAAGAGAGATACAGTAGCACAGTCACGTCAATAAGTTATAGTAATTATAGTGCCTACAGTGCCACTTTATGCTGTATATCACTTACTGGAGAATCTGCAAATACGGACACTCCTCACTTACTGACCTGGTCGTAGAACTAATTGGTCAGTAAGTGAAGAGTTATGGTCGGGGAAATTTCCCCAACCATAGACGAATGCAGCAGAGCAGGGAATCCCTCTAATTCCCATGACGGCTTGCACTTACCACCCCGCGAGAGAGCTGGTCGTAAGTGCGAGCCGTCATTAAATAGGTCGGCCGTAAAATAAGGACCATCTGTTTAACAAAATTGATACTAAAAATAATTAGCTTACACCCACCTTACTTCTTCACCTGCAAAATCAAATACTTTGGTGATTGTGACTTTTGCATCTTCTTTGGACTTGCTTGTTTCTCTGCCCTGAGCAGAAGACTTGTGAGGTTCCTTGGGTTTCTCTGCCTCAACCTGAAGAATATAATTTATAATAGTTAAAAAGATAAGAGGTAGCTTAAAAATATGTTTGAGAATATATATACACACACACACACTGAACAAAATACTTTAGTTTTTGCCTCAATTTTTCATGAGCTGAACTCAAAGATCTAAGATTTTTTTTCTATGTACACAAAATGCCAATTTCTCTCAAATATTTTTCATAAATCTGTCCAAATTTGTGTTAGTGAGCACTTCTCCTTTGCCAAGATAATCCATCCCCCTCACAGGTGTGGCATATCAAGATGCTGATTAGACAAAATGTGCAGTTGTACTGTATTTGACCACTACTTGCCTCACACAGTGCAAAACATCTCCTTCGCATAGAGTTGATCAGGTTGTTGATTGTGGCCTGTGGAATGTTGCGACTCCTCTTCAATGGATCTGCAAAGTTGCTGGATATTGGCAGGGCCTGGAACAAGCTGTCGTTTACACCGATCCAGAGCATCCCAAACATGCTCAATGGGTGACATGTACGGTGAGTATGCAAGAACTGGGATGTTTTCAGCTTCCAGGAATTGTGTACAGATCCTTGCAACATGGGGCCGTGCATTATCATGCTGCACATGAGGTGATGGTCGCGGATGAAGGGCACAACAATGGGCCCCAGGATCTCGTCACGGTATCTCTCTGCATTCAAAATGCCATCAATAAAATGCACCTTTGTTCGTTGTCCATAACATACGCCTGCAACACCATTACCCCACCATGGGCCACTCCTTCCACAACATTGACATCAGCAAACCACTCATCCACATGATGCCATACATGCAGTCTGCCATCTGCCCTGTAAACCGATTGTTGCAGCAGCTGTCCGGGTGGCTGGTCTCAGACTTACTTAGAGGTGAAGATGCTGGATGTGGAGGTCCTGGGCTGGTGTGGTTACACGTGGTCTGCGGTTGTGAGTCCGGTTGGATGTACTGCCAAATTCTCTGAAACGCCTTTGGAGATGGCTTATGGTAGAGAAATGAACATTCAATTCACGGGCAACAGCTCTAGTGGACATTCCTGCAGTCAGCATGCCAATTGCACACTTCCTCAAACTGTGGCATTATGCAGTGTGATAAAACTGCAAATGTTAGAGTGGCCTTTTATTGTGGCCAGCCTAAGGCACACCTGTGTAATAATCATGCTGTCTAATCAGCATCTTGATATGCCACACCTGTGAGGTGGATGGATTATCTCAGCAAAGGAGAAGTGCTCACTAACATTTAATAGAAATAGGGCTTTTGTGTACATAGAAAAAAATCTTAGATCTTTGAGTTCAGCTCATGAAAAATGGAGGCAAAAACAAAAATGTATTGTGTTTATAATTTTGTTCGGTGTACTTACCCCTGCTTCTCATGGTTTTCCAGAAAGAAACCATTTTCTGGTGTGGTAGATATATTTCCAGATTTGTTAGGAAGAACACTATACAATATGAATGTCCTGCATAGGCATTTATATATTCTACGTAATATACCAATTCAAGTAATGAACCCTTCCTCTCTCTTACATCTACATTCCTTGTTATCTAGCAAGGGACACAGAGGAGCCTTCGTTAGGGGTGAGGTTGGCCTCCCTTTTTACTCCAATGTTATCAGGTACATTATGGAAACAACAGATTGCAACCACCCTCCAATAATGCAAAACACGAGCAGACAAACTCTATGCTGCTGCCCAGCACACATCACACACACAGCAAGCTCCTCGAGAAAAACCTATTAGTAGGTTCAGCTTGCTGTAGAGACATCAACAAAATCTGGAGTGCTTTTTTACCCATTTGTATGTGCTGGACATTTTTCTTTTGGGATTTTATTCATTTCAAGGGTGTGCAATATACAAGACACTGCATGTGGAGGAGAGATGACTCGATGCTACAGTGAAGTTCTGACAAACCTCTTTTAGAGCTGTGGTTATTCTAGATTGCAATTTTTATAAAATGCAAAGCTGCCACTTGAATAACTATTACAGGCATAAAACTCAAAGGGGCGGTCAGAGACCTCGTTATCAGTTATAGAGAAATACTGAAAGATATACAAAAAAAAAAAAAAAAACTAAACAAAAATGAGTATAACATGCAGGAGCATTACAGTACATGTTTACCTGGTTAGGAATTGAGACAGGCCTGGGAGACTGGGGAGACTTGGCTTTTTGACCAACATCTGAAAGAAAGCTTGACCAAATATCATCTTCCTTTTTCTTTTTGAGCTCCTCTTTTTTCAGCTTCTTTTCCTCGTCAAACGCAGGTGCCTCATCTTCTTCAGAACAGTGTGCAGCTTCTTTTTCCTCCTCAGTTTTTTCCTCCGTGTTTAAGACTAGTACTCCTTTCTTCCGTTTCCTGAGTAGAAAAGGCATTTACAGACTTTAAGGATCAGTATTACAGGGCTCTACGTATAAAAAGGAGTTTACATTTATTTCATAGTGTTTATGCAAAAACTATATAATAACGTTAAAACCAATTAATGAAAACATAGCCATAGGCATTTATGTAATTGAACAAACCAGAGGTTCTAATACAATTAAGACCCTGTCATCAGCGTGGGCTATAGGCCCAGCCGAGACAGTGGGGGGAGTGTGGAAGTGACAGGGTTAATGACACCAGACCCCTGGTTACCTGTTGCTAGTCCCAGCAACCACTCAATTAACCCCTGCAATCCCTTCTACACTTACCCCCTAGTACACACTTTACTGCCACCACCAAGACTTTAAACCCGGGCATCTTAGGTTACCCCACACACAGGAGAATTATAGAATCACAGTTCTACTTTTACTGATCAAACACATATAATTAACCCTTTTTGGTAACGTGTTTACCTGAGCTTTCCTCTGGAGAGTGAAGCTCATAGAGAACAGAGACACAAGCTGAATAAGTTTAATCTGACAAAAAAAAGATTCACAGTGCTGAGTACAAAATACAGAAATAAATGACATACAGATAACAGATTGCAAAACAGTACATAAAATAAAATAGGAGAAAACACCAGAAATTCCTTACATTTACCCCATATAGAATTCTTGTGGGAGTCTTAGATGGTATAGGTCTCCTAGAAGTTGCTAACCAAAGAAAAAAAAAAAAAATCAATAATTTCTTGGATAGTCCAGCACCCTCACTATATATCCAAACTAGTTGTTTCTCAGTGGGCAGACCCCTGGGAGGTTCAAAGGGGGTTGGTCTGGCAGTTTATTGCCAACTCTATGCAATTCCTTGTGTCCAGCTCTGGTGATGGCTATCTAGATGTTTTATGGTCTAGGTCTGGTGCAAGATGAAAGACCACAATAAGGGTCATCCCAAGGTTTACAAAACAAACAACTCTTAACATATGTCAACACACATCAAACACCAACTCTTGCTTTTAGCATGACAGAAACATTGAAAAATGAAATTACAAAGAAGAGTATGTGTACTGAGCACCGCTGATCAGCAATACAAAAAGTATACAAATGAAACCAGATAAAGACTAGATGCTTTATGACAAGTTGTATCCCTAGCACCTGATCACAGTAGGCAATAACTCACTTTGTCTACTTTGTGTATGAGTAGTCGTGGTAATGGTGGTGGTAGATCCATGGTTATCTGTTCTGAGTCAGAAGAATGTTCTACTCTCCTGCTTCCTAGTAGGTGAATGAATGAATGAAAGTGATAGACAGGACATCATTTACCAAGCCTATATTAACATGTGCAGCTTAACTGGCTTTAGATCAGTAAGAGAGATGTGAAACACACTATAATAAGGTTCTCTTGGAAAGGAGGTCCAAGATGCAACACATGTGACACCTACTGTGATAACAATTGCCAACTACAACTTGAGTGGGACCTGTAATTCAAGCTCATTAACAACTAAACATCTCTCAATGGAGCATCACCAATACTATGTAAGAAAAACATATTTAGGGTGTGCAGAATAAATCATCAAGACAAAGAGCCACATGATTTAGATATCTGATATAATAACTAGAAAGAAAATATTTTAGAATATGCTATAAGAAATACACTGACACACCAGCACATGTAGGGCGACTAGTTAAACTCCCATATTATCAACTCTTTGTGATTATCCTAGGCCAGCGTTTCCCAATTGGTGTTCCAAATGTTTAAAAAATAAAATGGTGGCGAGGGAGCAGTGATCTCCCTGCTCAGCTCCCTCGCACACACAGCAGTGATGCTGAAGCCGGATTATGACGTTACTCCAGCTCCGGCATCACTAAAAGGTTTCCTCGCCGCCCGCACACCAGCCACTCAGTACCCCCACTGGACCCCAGGGACTGCATACCAGCCGCCCTACTGGACCCCAAGGACTCCATGCTAGCATTTCTAAAGGTAGGGGGTTAGGTGAATTAAAAATTTAAAAAAAGCAATTGTATGTGTGTCTGTCAAAGAGTATATGTGTGTTTGTCAGTGAGAATGTATATGTGTTTGTATGTGCGTCTGTAAAAGACTATGTGTGTTTGTCAGTGAGAGTGTGTGTGTGAGTGTGTCAAGGTTTGTATGTGTCACTGTGTGTGTGTGCGCGCCAGTGTGTATCAGTGTATTTGTATGTGCATGGCAGTGTGTGTGTGTGTGTAATCACAGATATACACACCATGACACACACCGGCACATACAAACACAGATACACACACTTTGAAAACATAGATATACACACAAACATACTGGCAAATACAAACACCTTGATACACAGACAAACAGATACACACACACTGTGTGTCAAGGTGTGTGTATATATGTGTCAGTGTGTTGATACACTATGTCAAAGGTTTCCACAGGAAAAATTAATTGGGAACCCCTGTCCTAGACTGTCGAATTACTACTTTTTCAATTATAGTTCATTCTAGTTTATCAATAACATATTGAATGAACTACTCTAAGAAAAAAATTCAGAACAGGCGTAAAAAAGTTAATACATTTACCTTGCCGATATACATTTGCTCTTTTTCTTTTTAGATTTGTCTTCTTCTGACTTTTTACTCCTATCCTCATCGTCCTCTTCCTCATCATCCTCTTTTACTAGTTCGTTGACATCATCTTCACTGTATTCGCCTCCTAAAAATGAAATTCACGTTTTTATTTTTACACAAATTCTACTTGTTTATTACTGTTCCTAATATTCCGAAGAAGAAAAACTATTTTCATGGTGTGAGCCACAAACTAAAAGAAAGATTCCTTTAGCAAATTAATGCACTTAGGTGTTAATGATTTGGTACAAATTTGATTTCTTACCTGGGGTCTGCTAAGCACAGAGATGGAATCTCTTGCTAAAAAAACTTTCAACAGCTCAATGGGAAGCCAGCTGACTCAGCCTATCACCTGTGCTCAGGCTTCCACAAAAAACTTGGTCTGACACGGAAGAAAAGTGGCAAAGAGGGCAATGGGCACAGACTGGACAACTTTGGATTTTAAGGTAACACAGCACCAAACCATAATCATTCCCTTGTTATGGTACGTGGAGTAAGTGTTCCTTTAAGGGGCAAGGACATTATTTTTATTATGTTTAACGCTCTTTCAAGTTTCCAGTAGTAGAGTACTAGAAATATATTGCTTCTTGATAGCACAGGACAACAATACAGGATGTAGGATCAAGTAACAGATTTTGCATCACAGCATGAAGCATTCAAATGCTGCAGTAACCAACTCAACGCAGACATTCAGAATTCCCCCTGAAATTGTGTGCCTGCTGAATAATATATAAAAAATAAAAATAAAAAAAATTCAGACTGCAGGGCAGCACTTTTCATCTTTAAAAAAAAGAAGGGACTTGCAAACGTAATTGGACATGAATGGCCTGGATGATGGGAGTTAGGCTGTAATCAGGGAGCTCTGTATGACTATGATAACTTTACTTAAACATTATTATGTTAATATTTATAAACATGAGCTTTAACATGCAGCACTTGTGTTGTATATCCACTCAAAGCACACTGTGCACATATTTATTAAAGTTAAATCTCAGCAGTCACTGCACCCCCACATGCTGTACATTACAAAGGAACCCATGACACCCAGACAGATACAATGATGGCGGAGTATCAATGCAAATCCTAACCCAGAGCAAATCAACCTTCAAAGATTAGACCTCATGGCCCTAAGTGGTGCACCATATAAACAATGGGTCCCATCACTGCCAGGGGCACATGTAAACAATGAGCTCTGTGACCACGTGACCAGGAAACCATTGAATAGAGGGTTATATATGCTGGTATACCTACCAGAGGGCACATAATCCTCATCTTCAGAGGAAGAGTAGTCCTCAGAGTCGCAGTCAGACATAGCGAGCACCGAGCGCTTCACGATGGACAGTGGAACTCAGTGAGTGCCCTAAACGGACTCGCAACTGCGCATGCGTCGACAGGCGCGGGCTAACGCGCATGCGTGTTTTGCTATAAACAATGCGCATGCGTGGGTGGCTAGAGGCTAGTGAGCATGCGCAAAGAAAACCCAGCACGCGCTATATAAAACGGAGGTTACAGAGAGAGTTGGCAGCACTCTTTCATTGTTATTTCGTAGGTCTTATACAACCTCCCTAGATTTATGTGTATTATCAATTTAGTCAGTATACAGTGTGTTTTTTTTGTTTGTTTGTTTTTTAAGTTGTTAGGGACGTTTTAAAAAAAAAATCAGGAAGGGGTTTCAGAAAATGAAATGGTGTGAGTGGGAATTACCACACAGGCATGAGGAGGAGCAGAGTATTTCTCCTGCTGTGTGATACCTGACAGCCATAGTGTCTGCAGAGAGGGACACGACATTACAAGGCCGAATTTGGGTTCTTATGCATTGACGTTGATTTCTTATTTAGAGTTAGCCCATTTTGGACTAACTTTTTAGTGTAATAAAATAGTTGAGAGGCAGCACTCCAGGCCTTCAGCTATATATTGTTGTTGGCATATTAATAGTTTGGACAGTAAACCATAGGCAAACCTCAAAATTAGTGAATCAAATTTGTGAGGGGATTTCAGCTAGGCCCAAAATTTAGTAGGCCTAAAATCTCCATGTGGCATATACAAGTACAGGTATCCATATAAGGTAATCCTGTGTATCCTGTTTGTTGATTGGTGTAAGGGTGCATAGCTTATAAAAAGCCTCTACTCCATGTGCTCAGGGCACAGATATTTTGAACCTGAGTTCAGCTAAGACCCGATCGATGAATGAGAATAAAGACCGTTGCTACTTGGACTGACCTGTGTCCGGACTTCTTCAGTGTTCCCCTGTAACATATCTGGTGCAATTGGCTGGGAAATCTTTGCAGAGACCACGCAACGGTAAATATTTTTACCCACCTCTCCACAGCAACCCCTGGACCGATATTGCGTGGACCTCCTTTCATCTCGGCGCCATTGGGCCTTCTTTGTCCGAGAGACTATTGGCTTCTGCGCCATGGGTATCGGGGTGTCCCGTCAATAAATTTTAAACCCCGGGTCCAGGAACTTAAGGTAACTCAGGTATCTGACCTTTCCCAATTGGAAAGAAGAGGCAGCTGATCCCCGAACTATCCTAAAAGAAATGGCAAAACTAACTGCTGCTTCGTGGCAGCCTATCCAAATCCCTAAGTCTGTATCAGGAGAAAATATAGGCGCAAACACATGCGCTGTGGAAACCCAGGTAAATGAAAGATGAGAGTAAAGAAAATCAATTGAGTATAATAGCGTCGGCTAGAAAATATCTCGACGCGCGTTTTGGCGTTTTTAGTGTATACTGAGTGAATAGGGTGACCACTCCCACCTCCTCCGATTGGTTCAATATGCAGGGGAGGTCACCTGTCACTCTTTCACAACCTGTGGTCTTTTGATTGGAGGGCTTTAATTGAAGGGTGTGTCTATATCCCCTTTATAACTGCTTCCCGTGTCACTTACCAGGTAGCTCTTGACAAAGGCGTATCTAAAACGCCGAAACGCGCGTCGAGATATTTTCTAGCCGATGCTATTATACTCAATTGATTTTCTTTACTCTCATCTTTCATTTACCTGGGTTTCCACAGCGCATGTGTTTGCGCCTATATTTTCTCCTGATACAGACTTAGGGATTTGGATAGGCTGCCACGAAGCAGCAGTTCCTTTTTCCATTTCTTTTAGGATAGTTCGTTTTTTAGGGTGAATCGGGGGGGGGGGTGGGGGGGTTCTATCTTTCCTCTCTTTGTGGGGTATTAGCTCCTTTTCTTTTTAGTATAAGCTACTTGATATTAGTTTGGGCAGGACCCATTAGTTGCTATTAACCCTGCCCTTTCCAGATTCTCTCAGACACTGCTCTAAGACTATCCTTTTTCTATCCAATTACCCAGTTGGGTCCTTTCCTAGAATGGATTTAGACTAACTTGCTTTGTTACCCATTTACTATTTTAGGTGTATTTTTACACCTTTATTAAGTCAAACATACCTTGCAGGATTAGCCTCTCTCAAGCTTTTATAAGTTTGGTGGTTAACTTAGCCGATGCTATTATACTCAATTGATTTTCTTTACTCTCATCTTTCATTTACCTGGGTTTCCACAGCGCATGAGTTTGCGCCTATATTTTCTCCTGATACAGACTTAGGGATTTGGATAGGCTGCCACGAAGCAGCAGTTAGTTTTGCTGTTTCTCTTAGGATAGTTAGTTTTTTTAGGGTGACTCAAGGGGGGGAGGGGTTCTATCTTTCCTCTCTTTATGGGGTATTAGCTCCTTTTCTCTTTAGTATAAGCTACTCGATATTAGTTTGGGCGCGCCCCATTAGTTGCTATTAACCCTGCCCTTTCCAGATTCTCTAAGACACTGCTCTAAGACTCTCCTTTTTCTATCCAATTACCCAGTTGGGTCCTTTCCTAGAATGGATTTAGACTAACCTGCTTTGTTACCCATTTATTATTTTAGGTGTATTTTTACACCTTTATTAAGTCAAACATACCTTGCAGGATTAGCCTCTCCCAGGCTTTTATAAGTTTGGTGGTTAACTTATAATCAATACACTATTTTAGTGTATGGTAATAGTATTTGGACTATATACCATTTTAGCATTTTTTTCTAATAAAGGTTGTTTATCCTCTTCTGTGTGACTATTTACATTATGAGGTACTTTGAATGAGGCTAGGCATTCCACCCACTTTTTTTGAGTGGACTGTCTGCCCCATTTTTCGTCTCTTTTTTTCTATATATATTGTGGGGTTACGCCCCTTGTACCTCTGTTACCTTTTTGTGGGGTAGTGGTGGTGGTTTCCCCATCCCATAGCCCCTCTCTTTCTTCTAAATGCTCTGTAGTTAGCCCGTTTGGCATAGATTCTGTTTGTCCGGCTGAATTCTGGTGCATATATGTTCAGTCGGATTACAGTTTCTGCACTAGTTGAACTCCGTTGTAAATTCCGTTCAATGGATCTCAAAGTATGTTCTGAGTCTGGTTTCTGGACTAGTTGAACTCTGTTGTAAATTCCATTCACTAGATCGTTTATTCTGGAGTGAGTAGACTAGTTGAATTCTGTTGTAAATTTAGATCTCACTAGATCTCGAAGTGTGGAGCTATTTGTGTAACATATTCCTCATTACCTTGCGGTGTTTGTGCCCAGCGGCCGTGCATCTGTACTAATGACTCTTGCAACATGTTAATGGACACTGGCCGCTGCGGATCCACGCCAAATTACACCCTCACGTCCGCCCACGTTAATGACGACGGCGTAACTTCACGCGGGAGAAGTTGTTGTCAAATGCTGTTTTCGGCCTATCAGAAATGTAAAGCACTTATTTAAGCTCAAATTTACTTTTCCTCATTGTCCTGTTGTGGTTTCTGCCTGATGGTAATGTTTGCAGTAAATAATCTACTACAGTAATCCGAGAGTGCGTTCCTGATCTTGATATTCTGGTATTTGACTTTGGCTTCGTTCTGACTTTGCTGATTTCTGGTATCCTTGACTTTTGTCTTTTTCTCATTGTTGTGTCTGATTCTGTATCCCTGACCTCTGCAAGTATTCTGACTATTCTTGGATACGTTCAGTCCGGCCATCCTAAGGTCCGGTTAGACGTTATCCTTAGTCCTAAGTGTGATACAATTCTGAGTGCGGGATCAACTAGTAATTCTGACAGTTTGATTAACTGACCTCAAGTATAAGCCCTGTTCAGTTTAGAACATAGTCTCCAAAAATACTGTTTAGTTAAACCCTGATGTATATATTGTTTAGCTAGATTCTGGTGTAAATAGTGTACTGCTAAACTCTGGTTTATAATGTGTATGTCTTACTAAATTTTGATGTATATGCTGTTTAGTGGACTTTAAAGTGTAGATTGTATTTAATTACGCACAACACCATTACCACCGATACTATAACCACTGACTATTGATACAGAGTTGTAGTAATATTGGTGGATCGGGTGGTTTAGACGTTGATTAACTGTACAGATAATTGTATAGCTTTTGGTACGTTTTGACTTTGTTCTGTATGTGTGAGATGTCATTAATATTGTGAAACGTGTGAGGATCCTGTGTGTGTGTGTTCTGGCATGGTAACCGCACCACTTGGTGTTATTGATAAGGAGATTTGTGTGTCAATTGTAACTGTGTTTGTATCTTTGTACTGCTTTGAGTCAGACTCTCTGCTGAAATGGATGCGTCTGATTCAAAGATTGTTGATCCTTTGTCTTGCATGTTAAAGAATTTTTCTAAGGGATATGCTGTTTGTGATTACAGTGTAATGCTGTCCCCAAAAAGGTTGAATACTCTGTGTAGCAGAGAATGGTCTGTTATGGTAACCAGTGGCTCTCCTGTGGTAGCCTTGATCCAGATTTAATACAGCAGGTTCACAATGTTATAACTAGTATGCCGGGGCTTAATGATTAGTTTCCATATATTGATTGTTCTAAGCAAATTGTTGGAAAACAGCCTAATTGGATCAAGTAATGCCACAAGGAATAATGCAGCCTCATGGTTGCCAGAACTCGTTTGTCCACTAAGGCCTCAACTCCACCTAGTTTGGACACCCCCCTGAATCTGATCTCCCCTTACCAGCCCCCGACTCTTCCTCCCAAGCTAGAACTGGTGTTTCCACTTCCCTTGCCCCATTTTCTCCACCTACCCACCTGACGACCCCCAACCGGAACTTGTTAGACCACAGTATTCTACAAATGTCCACAGTCCGGTTTTAACATGTATGACTACTGGTACCCTCCAACCTGGCATTCACAGATGCCCCTCCGACTTATTCATGGCCCAACACACATTGATGGCAATGAACAGTTGCAATTGGGAGACACTGTATTTTTATACATTCCCTTTACAGCTACCGATCTGTTTATTTGGAAAAACCAATCGGCCATTAAAGCTCTTGAGGAGACTGCCTGTACCCAAAACTAAGCATATCCAGCGGCTTGGGCTGCTACCCATTTCCATAATACGGATCCTAATTGGAATATATAAATGGTGCTGATATGGTTCATTTAAAAGCCTACCAACAAGCTTTTATTAGAGGTATAAAAGCAGGTGGGAAAAAAGCTATAAATATATTAAGAATATCTGGAGTATTACAAAAAATTGATGAATCTCCCAGTGCCTTTTATGAGAGACTGCTTGAATCATTGTACTCCTTTTTAATCCAGAAGACCCTGAAAATTCTCATATGATTAATTCGGCATTCGTCAGCCAGGCCCAGAGTGACATTTAAAGGAAATTGCAAAAGTTAAAGGGATTTTTGCAAGGATGTCAATAACACAGCTAATGGAAGTAGCAAACAGGGTTTATATGAATAGGGAAGCTGAAACGAAGCGTGAGGAGGAATGCAGGATGAAAAAAATGGATATGTTAGCTGTAGCAATTACAGGAGTGGAGGTGAGATTAGGAATGACAGACCGCAGTTAGGTAGACATCAATGTGCATATTGCAGAGAGGAAGGACATTGGAAAAGTGACTGTCCACAGAGGGGATATATAGCAAGTTTTAGACAAGAGGAGAGTAGAGGACGAGGTGGTTATAGAGATGGCTATAGAGTAAGAGGAAGTCTTAGAGGGAGTAACAGATGAGACGTCCAGGAAGGTAGATGCTATTCCCCTACTCAGAGACCGAGGAATAGGAACTTTGTGGGTCTGGCTCATACAGTCATGGAGGACTTTTAATACAGACCGGGCTACATCCCCCTTGGCCGAGCGGAGCCTCTGGTTGAAGTAACAATAGGGGAAAAGAAAAGTCCCTTCATGATTGATATTGGTGCCAAACACTCTGTTGTGACCAAATTAGTAGTCCCTCCCACTGGAAAAACTGTTACTGTAATAGGAGCTACTGGGAACGGAGCTATTAGACCGGTTCTCAGGAGTCATACTTGTACACTAGGGGGCCATTTTGTTCAGCATCAGTTCCTATATATGCCTGAGTGTCCAATTCAACTTCTAGGACGAGATCTATTGTCAAAGCTTCAAGCACAGATAACATTTCTACCCAATGGATCAATGCCCCTGCAGTTTAATAAAGCACTGGGCATGTTAGCCATACTGGTGCCAAAAGAAGAAGAATGGCGTCTGTATTCTGCAATGATAACCCCAAACCCAAAGAGTGATGGATCATTATTTGACATTCCAGGAGTATGGGCAGAAAATAATCCTCCAGGACTCGCCCGTAATATTCCACCTATACATATTGAATTAAAACTTGGGGCTTATCCTGTTAGCCTCCGCCAGTAATATATACCCCAGAAGGCTAAAGAGAACATACAGACATACTTGGGCAAGTTTGTTGATTATAAAGGTGGCGGGAGTGACTCCCTGGATTCATCACTCTAGGGTTAAACCAGCAGCTACAAGCTACCCCTGATCCTGAGACTCCTTGTAAGATCTGGTTGAAGCGAACTACCCAGTACATGAAGCTTGATTAAAGTGACATAAGGAAGTATGAGACGATCTTCAAAAATCGTGGTTGAGAACGATGTCAGAGAGCAGCAAGTTGGTGCTTTGATGGCCATAATAAAGCCTGACCATCGACCAACGTTTCATAGCCAGAGTGCCTCGAAGGGACCTCTGTGTTGGGAAGAGAGGATCAGACGGACAACATTCCCTGCAGCCCTCACAAGTGGGAAGCTGAGGTGCCGTCACACGGTTGAAAATGTGGATGAAGACTTCCATCATAATGTATTTCTTTGTGTGTTTTTAATATACATACGGAATGCAAAGGTGATGACATACAAGGCTGTGATAGTTGTATTAAGACTACAAAAACAGGTAACCAGATATCCTAAACTCTTATTTGGCACACGCTTTATGAATGTAAAGGATCTGTGTCTAAATGCAGATACTTAGACACTGATTATAGTTTGTGTCAGCGAGTTTCAGGTGAACCCAAGTGTTTTGATCTCCAATTCCGACCCCATACAACCTGGCTGGTTCTTTGAAATTCCTACTCTCAGGGGGCATTGATAAATAAAACTTCAAGTACCACCTCTTCCCTAGGCATCCTACTATTCGATGCATGTAAAGCAATTTCTGGTAGTGGAAAACCATGGAACATATGTGGTAATCTTAAGTATGAACAAACCTATGGGTTTAATGATAAATACCTATGCCCTAGTATAAGAACTACTGACCCTGATTGTCCAAATGGGGGCTTCAACTTTTGCCCATACTGGTCATGTGTAGGTTGGGCGATCTGGGGAAAAACAGTAGACCAAGACCTGATAATTCAGAGGTTACCTACTACTGCTCATTGTAAATCAATGGAGTGTGATCCTGTACACACGATCATTTCTAAACCCCAGCAATTTATTTATAAGTTTAGGAATCTTTTCGGTTGCCAAATATATGGTATAGGGACAGACCCAGGAGCCATCTTATATATAAGCCTTGAAACTGAGACCCTGAATGCCCAAACTCATCAGGTATTCCATTTCAGTTCCCCACACTGTTAATAACCTGTTCATTGATCTAGCTGAGAGTATTGCAAGTAGTCTTAATATAACTAACTACTTTGTATGTGGAGGTTCAAATATGGGAGACCAATGGCCATGGGAAGCGAGAGAAGTATGGTACCCTGGTTCTGAGACAAATGAGCAACAGATGCCTTCCCACTCCAGTAACCCCTTAAGGACACATGACGGAAATATTCCATCATGATTCCCATTTATTCCAGAAGTTGTGTCATTAAGGGGGTAATCAAGCAACCATACAGGAAAAATCTGAATAGCAGTTAAAAACATCCATAATCGGTCAAATATGCTTAGCTTGGGGAGGCCCAATGTATAACACACCTGTAGGCGAATTGACTTGTCTAGGGCAGAAAGTATATAATGCTAGTAGCCATAATACTACCTGGTGGTCAGCTTCAAATGTCTCAGAGCCTACTGTTACAAACTATTGGTTACTGTTATTGGATCGCTACAACTCAGAAGCGAATGTTATTCATTGTTGCATTTCACTCAGAGTTTGACTACAGTACTGGGATTTGGTACCTAACTCCTGAACTATGGGCCTGCTGTCTATTCGTTATACGAACGGCAGACCACCAGGATCTTGGCGTGTGCCGCCACTTAACCCCCGTCACCCCTGGAACAACTGAACGGCCGACCACCCTACGAGCCGAGTGTTTCTCCACTTAATCGCCCAGAGAGTTGCGGTCTGCGGTTAACCACAACCTAATTGACGGCAGCAGGGCATTCACGTTCGTGCCCCATCGCCCGATACTCTAACTACCGAACGGGTACCGAACAAGGGCCACCTACAGCTTGGCGTGTGGCTCCAATTAGAATGTTGGTTTCTGCGGTTAACCGCAGGTTAAGAACCCCCTCCCGGTGTTCTTCATTCGCCTCCCGAACAACGGAGACATCCAGCGATGGAGCGGGGATTCGTGTAGACTTCTAGCCAGTTCCTGTTCCACAAGTTTGAGAGTTAAGTCCCGCGGCCTATTAGTCTACCTCAAAACATGGCCGCCAGCACACGCTCAGAACCCAAGGACACGAACAGACTTTGAGGAAATGAAGCATACCATTCGTGGGTTCTGAGCGCTCTTCGGTTAATTGTTTCGCCTCAACCAGCGCTATGTAATGAATGGTGGAAGACACGAATTATGTATAAAACTGTTTGAGTTATGTATTTTTATTCTGTTTTCTATGTGGGGTTTGGACGCTTGGAGATAATTGTATTGTCATAACCGTTGGATTCATTATCTCCAAGCTGGGCGGTGACGATTTCAAACGATGCATTGCATTTCTATTGGTCCCCCACTTGCATTGTCCCTGTATCCTATCAGGTCCAGAGGGGGCTGTCCCTGGACCTGAGATTTTGCATAAATATGGTCCCCTGTGTGTCATTAAAGCCAGTTCTTGCTTGACCTTCAAATCGCAGCCTCGACTCTTTTTGTGGGGAAAGGGTATCCTAGCTGTATGATAGCTAGTGGGATTGCTCTACATTTACAGGATTCGTATGGAATAACTACCGAAGTGACTCTCCTCCTTCTCTGCCTTTGGGATCCAGACCATCCAAGCGGTCCAGCTTCCAGCTAGCCTGGGGGTAACCGTAACACCTACCAATCCTTTTGTTAATTACACAAATTTAAGAGAGGTATGGTTTGATCTATCAGATACATCTAACTGGAGAGCCCCAGAAAATGTATACTGGATTTGTGGTAAGAAGGCATATTTAGAATTGCCACAAGATTGGGCGGGGGCATGTGTGCTAGGTATGCTCAAACCATCCTTCTTGTTACTAATCCAAACAGGAGAGACCTTGGGAATTAAGTTCTATGATGTAAACCATAGGAAGACGCGAGTACCATTAAATATTGGTAATTGGGAAGATTATGAATGCTCATCCCAGTGAATTATTAATTACTATGGACCTGCTACTTGGGCTGAAGATGGTACTTATGGTTATGGAACCCCCCTATACATGCTTAACCGCATCATAAAATTGCAGGAGGTGGTTGAGATTATTATTTATGAGACAGCTGAAGTACTTAACTTCCTGGCAAAACAGAATACCCGTATGAGGTCAGCCATTTACCAAAATAGACTATTTATTAGCAGTAGAAGGAGGTGTGTGCGGAAAGTTTAATGTTAGTAATTGCTGTCTGCATATAGATGACGAAGGGCAAGCTGTGGTTGACCTTACCAGCCACATGGTTAAATTAACGCACGTACCTACTCAGATCTGGAACGGGTTTAATCCAGGTAGTTGGTTTGGAAGCTGGTACGAACGGTTTGGAGGGTTAAAGGCACTGGTAGGAGGAGTGGTATTTATTATTATCTTATGCCTCTTACTACCCTGCTTGCTTCCATTAATAATTCAGTCCATAAGTAGTGTTATTGAGAGCACTATAGAAAGGAAGACAGCAGCTCACGTAATGGTCTTTTGGAGATATGAACCTCTAGCCCAAAGAGAAATAATTTGTAACCAGGTTGATGAGTTCTGATAATTCATAAGATTCAGAGATCTTTTCTCCTTACGCTTATAATCTATAGTTAAAATCGCTCAGTGTGCACAGTACTCTCATCACTGACGCCGAAGCACTGCCCACCCAACCAAGCCTACACTGGCCAAGTAAAACAAGTTAGCTCCGGGGTATGCAACACCTTCCCCCCCGCCCCCAATGCCCCTGAGGTATTGATGAAAGCCAGCACTGGAGTAATCGTGCAACACTAAAAGTCTACCCTCTACTGATAGGTACCCTATAGTAATTACCTAAAGTGGACCACCGCTCTCACTCCCCTACAACCCTAGCCAGTACAGAACAGACCACTACCACACTAGCATCACACTCGACATAGCCAAGACTATCAAATCAACCCATAAACATGACTTAACATAGTCCCTGAAAGTCAAGAGGACTAACCAATACGCCTCTGGACATGAGACGTCCTAAACTATCAATGGTCGCCCTCTTAGGCGGTACCTTACCCGCAACTTATCTATACCACGAACACTTATCTATACCACGAACACAACCAGACTGAGCCCATTGAACATTAAAAGCACATGGAGATGGACAGATCCCTATAACTACCTAGGTCACTTCATAAAAGTGCCACACGTTCTGTAAGCCACGCATGAATTGCACCCAACTGACTATTTGATTTTATGTTACTATGTTGTATGGCATTATGGATTTGTTATGATTTAACACTATGCACTGAAATCAAAAATAAAGAATTTAAAATGAAAACTTGTCTAGCAGGAACCAGGGTTTTCCACTTTATAACATGAGACTTTTGTGGTTGCCAAATTACAGAAATTATCAAATTTTTTAGAGTAAATTGCAGATTATGACGAGGAGCTCCCTCAGTGTGCATCCTGCTTGCTTGGAAGCCAGGATGCACCTCCCGCACCCCCCCCAAAAGTTGTACATTTGAGAATAAAAACTTGTAAATATGTGGATATATAAAATTGATAAAGGGCAATTTTGTTTCTCATATATAAAGCCCATTTTGATATCTTTACGCATACTGTACAGGGACATTGGTATAAATATGGTCAAATTAATCATGTCAAGGAGATTGCTCCATTATTTATACATAACCCCTATTTTGTTTTTTCTCCTAAACCACATCTTCTGGCCAGTAGCATTTGAGGATCCATAAAATATTATAGGATTTTAGGTTAAATATTATAGGATTTTAGGTTAAATTAGTGTTTCTACAGTACAAACCGGAACCATATAGCTAGATAACTAGGAACCATGTTAGGAAAGAGAAAAGGTGCACTAGAGAGTGTGTCTATGCCGAATCTGGCACCATTACATCTGCAGTATTCTACCACCCCCATCAGGCTCAGTCAGCCATCACCAGGATTGCCGAGAATGCTGAGAGTTTTTAAACTAAATAGCAGCAGTGATAAAGCCTGTTAGTAAGGCAGTACACTATGTCCCAGTAAACAGACTCCATTCTGGGAGGAGGATAATCTGTGGGCTGTACTTTGTGTTTGTGTCAGCAGCAAGAACTTCAGCACTTTATAAAGAATCTGTAAACCCAGCCATCATGGAGCTCAGCACAGTCCTCTCTCTTGTTCTGGTCCTGTTGGGCTACCTATGGTGGAAGGTGACTCGCCCAAAGTCCTTCCCTCCAGGTCCCCTGGCTTTGCCCATCGTAGGCAACTTATTACAGATGAACTTCAAAAATCCTTTGCAGGGTATGAAGGAGGTGAGTGGGTACTATATGGGGAGATTGATTCCTGCATAAAGAGTGTTATCATTGCATGAATGTGCAAGGGAAGTGCAAAATGTTTAATAAGGCACTATATTAGTGAGGAACTGAGTATTGTCAATGTATAATAGGGCACTATATCAGTGAGGGACTTAGTATTGTCAGTGTATAATAAAGCACTATATGAGTGAGGGATTGAACAGTGTCAGTGTATAATAGGGCACTATATCAGTGAGGGACTTACTAGTGTCAGTCCTTGGTTCAATATAGGCCATTTTTATTGGAACCACAGCAACGTTTCGACCGTGAGGTCTTTATCAAGATTGATAAAGACCTCACGGTCGAAACGTTGCTGTGGTTCCAGTAAAGTGCCTGTATTGAACCAAGGAGTGCCTGGACCCCTTTTATTTTATTTTATTGATTCTGGGAATCTGGTGTTTGGCACCGGTACAGTAAGCACCCTGGCTCTGACAGATGGGAATGAGTGCAGTTCCATACATTTTTCAAAGGATTACTATTGTCAGTGTCAGGGCAAGTGCAAGGATTTTTGCCGCCCTAGGCAAAGATCCATTTCGCCGCCCCCTCATGTCACCCACTCACTGACAGACACACACTCACTCACTGACAGACACACAGACACTGACAGACATACACTCACTCAGTGACAGACACATACACACACACTTACTGACAGGCATACACTCACTGACAGACACAGAAGCACACACTCACTGACAGACACTCATTGACAGACACACACAGACACTAACAGACAGACACACACACAGACACTGACTGACAGACACACACACACTCACTGACAGACACACACACACATACATACACACACTCACTCACTGACAGACACACACACACACACACATACATACACTCACTCATTGACAGACACACACACTCACTGACAGATATACACTGACAGACACACACACACACACACACTCACTGACATACATACATTCACTCACTGACAGACACACACACAATCCAGTGTGGGGCAGCTCTTCACTCCTCCCGCCCGCTGTTTAGTATGCCGGGGCCCAGAATGACGTCATATTCTGGCTCCCGGCATCACAGAGGGCATGCTTGGGAGGAGTGAGAGGCTGCTCCATCCCCTCTCCTTCCGTCACCGGCATTTAGTGGCAGAGCAGGCACCTGCCGTCAAGGTAAGTAGGTGCCTGCTCTGCCTTACTGTAGTACAGCATCAGGAGCGCCCTAGGCACCCTGTAACAGGGCTTCTCTCGGTGCCCCCACCTTCGGGCGCCTTGGAGATTGGCCCAGAGCTGGGGGCAGCTCAAGAGCCACTCGCCCAGCGTTGCGGCCCCAGACAGGGGGAGCCCACCAGGCAACATCGCGGTGGGCTCCCCCAGCAGGCCGGCACCCTAGGTGAATGCCTAGTTTGCCTAACGGTGGCGTCGGCCCTGGTCAGTTAAAATAAAGCACTATATCACTGAGAGATTGAGCAGTGTCAGTGTATAATAAAGCACTATATCAGTGAGGAATTGAGCAGTATTAGTGTATAATAAGGCATTATATCAGTGAGGGACTGAGTAGTGTCAGTGTATAATATGGCACTATATTGGTGAGAAATTGAGTAGTGTCAGTGTATAATAAGGTACTATAACAGTGAGGTATTGAGTAGTGTCAGTGTATAATAAGGCATTATATCAGTGAGGGACTGAGTAGTGTCAGTGTATAATATGGCACT